AGTAGCTGGGATTACAGGCACGCGCCACCATACCCAGCTGATTTTTTGTATTTTTAGTAGAGACGGGGTTTCACCATGTTGACCAGGATGGTCTCGATCTCTTGACCTCGTGATCCACCCGCCTCAGCCTCCCAAAGTGCTGGGATTACAGGCGTGCGCCACCGCGCCTGGCCCTATTAGCTTTTTAAAGGCAGAGAATGTCTCTAAAGTAATTTTTTTGTTCCCCATAACCTGGTATATTGTTTGGTCAACATAATTGATGCTCAATATACCTTGCGGAATTTGAAATCTAAATTAATGTTGCAGGTTGAGGCTGACATACAATTTTGAGTTCCAGAGGGTATCTAAACAGTACCTACTGTTGGGATAAATACATTATTGCCATTGGCTATGGCTCAAATTATACATACATATATAGAGACTGGAGTAAAAACTGAGACTAAGAGCTCTTTGATATATTTCTAATGGTAATGAAAATGACATTTTGTTTTAAAATCTTCCTTTCATGTGTCTTATATGTTTTTTTCAGCAACCTGATTAACTGACCTACATGTCTTTATGTACAAGTGTATTATCTGTTAAATGGTTATTGGTGAATTCCTGGGTAGGAATTGTTGTTGCTGTTGTTTAGGGCCACATTGAAGGCAAAGCTTGTGTGCACCCCATGCAAAGTGAGAGGAAGACCTGAGTGATCACTGGCCACAGGCCAGCTGAGGGGAATCAATCCCACCCTCTCATCACTTGCTCAGTCTTACACTTTTCTCCATGGCCCTCTATTCTCATCTTTTTTTTTTTCTTTTATACAGATGCTTCTCAACTTATGGTGGGGTTATGTCTCAATAAACCCAATAAACCATCACAACTGAAAATATTTTAAGTAAAAAATGCATTTAATACACCTAATCTACCAAATATCATAGCTTAACCTTCCTTAAATGTGCTCAGAACACTTACATTAGTCCACAGTAGGTGAAAATCATCTAACACGAAGCCTATTTTATAAAAAATTGCTGAATATCCCATATCATTTATTAAATGCTGCACTAAAATTGAAGAATGGAATGGTGGCATGGGTACTCAAAGTATGGTTTCTATTGAATATGCATTGCTTTTGTGTTACTGTAAATTCAAAAAATCATAAGTGAAACCATTATACATTGTGGACCATCTCTAGTAGAACAAGATTTCAATTATGTTACTTGTCATGTTGGTAACATACCTTCAACAAATATTTATTTATTGTCTTTTGTGTGACAGACAAAATTTCTTCAGCCACTTTGGAAACCAATGTGAAAGTTCTTCAAAAGATTAAGTATAGAGTTACCATATGACCCAGCAATTCCACTCCCAGGTGTATACCCAAGACAATTGAACACATATGTTTACAAATGATTATACCAATATCATCATAATAGTCAAAAAGTGGAAACAACTCAAACTTCCATCAACTTATGAGTAGAAAAACAAAATTTGGTATATTCATGCAATGAACCATCAATCAGCAATAAAAAGGAATGAAGGGTTGATTCATGCTACAACATAGATGAATCTTGAAAATACTATGCTAAGTAAAAGAAACCAGACACAAATATTATTCCATTTATATGAAATGTCCAGAATGGGCAAAATCCACAGAGATAGAAAGTTCATTAGCGATTGCCAGAGGCTTGGGGAAGTGGCGGGAGGGAATGGGGAGTGAGTTCTGGTAAGCATAGGCACGGGGATTTTTTATGATGAATTGTTCCAAAAATCAGATATGGGTGATGGTTGCACAACTCTATGAATACACCAAAACCTGCTGAATTTCACACTTTAAAATGGTGAATTTCTGAAATGTAAATTATATCTCAATAAGCTCTTAAAGAAAAAATGGGCACCCCTTTCTTTGAGATTGTAGCTATAGCCACACTTGAAGGTGTGGCTTGACACACAGCACAGACTGTGTTTTAGCCCTCACTCACTCCTTCTGTCTGGATTCCTACCTATTAGATAAAGAAATAGGTAACATTGTTCTGGGCCTAACATTGGTCACCTCTCAGAGCCTAACCTTTTGCAGAAAGATACTTATCCAACCAGAGGTAAAGGTAGGAAGGAAATTTAAAAAGTGAAGCAGAAGAAGAAACCCATCATGGTACATCTATTAAAAGATTGGCCCATGTTGTGGAAATGAAAATGAGAAATCCTTTATCATTTGCCTTATTATTGTAAAAGGAACAGGCTCTCCTAATAATTTTCTAATAATGAATGCTACATTATTACTGAAAAGTGATGCTAACATAAATTTATAAATTTGTAGCATAAAAATATGTTTAACTGGTTGCTCAACTATTTAAAACATGGTTTCCTTCACTCTGCAAATTTTGATTCCTTTTCATTAACCTTTCATTTCTGACCTACAGTAGATTTTAAAACAACTTTTTTCTTTCATTTCTCTCAGATTTCATAAGTATTTATTCATGGCAAAGAATTTTAATGTGACTCTTGTGACTGTTCTAGGGAAATATGAATATAATATTTTAAACATTTAAAGTGAAAATGGTGAAGTTTGTAAAAGGTTTGTTTTTATTTTGTCAATAATGAAAAAGACATTTCTTAACAATATCTTCTGAGTAAACTTTAAGGCAATAAATAATTGTACACCAAATTAAATATTTAACATAATTAAGGTGAAATGATTTGACCAGCTAAAATTTGTCTTTATAGTTCTCCTGCTGGTACATTTTGTCATGTTGGGGTAAACTTCTCAGTCGCCAAATTTGGATGCCATTGGATCGCATCATAATATGTGCCGCTAAGCTGGGTGACTCTGAAGTAGAAAGGAACAGGTTTGAGATTATGTCTGTTAGGAATTCATAGGTAGTACCTAGGAAAAGCTACCCCAGTCCTAAAGCTAGATAGTCAAATGCTTGGGAAACACACTCAATTCTAGCAAAAGTTGAGCTCCACAAGTTCTAAGGACAATGTAGCAAATATCATGTAATCACATCTGGGGATAAAACAAGATAGGTAGTTTAAGCTCTGATGAGCATGAATTACGGAAAAAGTAGCTAAACTACAGTGATGAGCTATGACTACTCCTCACTACTAGTGATGAGTTATGACTACTCCTCACTACTAGTGATGAGAGGGTGGGATTGATTCCCATCAGCTGGCCTGTGGTCAATGATTACTCAGCCCTTCCTCTCACGTTACTCGCTTTAGGTTTTTATTTCCTTAAGTCTTCATACTGGGCTCTACGGCTTTAATAAAAAGTCAGTTTTATTTCTTAAGGCATATTTAGAAAGCTTATCGTTCGATTTTAGGAAGACTGTACCACGTGCAAGGCATTTATCACCACTTCATAACAGAGTACGCTAAATTCAGTTCTTTTGAGGAATTAGCATTCTTTCTGAAAGTTAAATCTGCAAATCTAAACATGCCAAATGACTTAAATAATAATAATTAAAAAAAGAAAATAAGTTTAGAAGAACTTAAAACATCTACTTAAACATACTTGGTTTAATTTGCAGATAACTCGATTCTATGGGATAGTAAACGAATATACCAATCTTCTGAGGCACATGGATTTCTATGTTATGCCAGTGGTTAATGTGGATGGTTATGACTACACATGGAAAACGGTAGGAGAAAAGGCAAAGAAGACAAATCATGCTCTCCTTGGGGACATGGGATATACAGGTTGAATTATTCATAGAATTCTGGATCTAGGTACAATGGCTTTATTATTAAATATTTTTCTTAACTTTTGTGGAAAATGTCAAATATATATAAAAGTGCATATAATTGTATAGTAAGCTTCTATGTACCTATCACAGAGCCTCAACAACTCATGACCACCTCATGGCCAGTCTTGTTTCATCTGTCTTCTCTCTACCAACTTCTACCTTACTCATTTTATTTTGAAGTAAATCCTAGGTACCATATCATTTCATCAATAAATATTTTAGTATGAATTTCTAAAAAAGGAACTCTGAAAAAAAATAACCATAGTATAATTATACCTTAAAAATTAACCATTTCTGAATATCATAAAATATTGTCAGTCTTTCCAATTGTATCATAACTTTTTTTTTTTTTTTGAGATGGAGTCTCGCCCTGTCACCTAGGCTGGAGTGCAGTGGCAGGATCTCCTAACTCACTGCAATCTCAGCATCCCAGATTCAAGCGATTCTTCTGCCTCAGTCTCCTGAGTAGCTGGGATCACAGGAGCGGGCCACCATGCTCGGCTAAGTTTTGTATTTTTAGCAGAGATGGGTTTCACCATGTTGGTCAGGCTGGTCTCAAATCCTGACCTTGTCATCCACCTGCCTGAGTCTCCCAAAGTGCTGGGATTACAGGCATGAGCCACCATGCCCATCCTGTATCATAACTTTTTAAAAAGTATGCTTCTTTGATTCCGGATCCAAATAAGGCTCTTACATTATGATTGGTTTATATGTCTTTTAACTCTATTTTAATCCATGGACTCCCATTCCATCGTTTGCTCTTTCCCTCTTTCTATTTTTTTTTCCATGCAATTTACTTGTCAAAGAAAAGAGTTTCCTATTATCAGCATTTGCTAATTGCATTGCCATCTTGTAGTTTAACATACTCTTTTGTATTTTCTGGTTAATCAACGTCGTGATTCATGTAAAATTATTCAAGCAATATGAAATACTGTGCTAATATAAAGGGGGGCACATAGAAACCTAGCTAGGTATATATAAGTTTATAAAAACCTACTTGAGTAGCACATATAAATACTAAGAGAAATAAGATTAGTTGGAATGATTGCAAACATGGAATTACACATGAATTATTTCATGTAGGAGGTAATTTATGCAGAAGAGATGGAAATGACAGAGGAGATTGATGAAAAAGTCATCTCTGGTGAGAGGAATACTGTAACTGAAAAGTTTGTAAGTGGAGGTGGGCAAATGCCGAACTAAGTAAATGAGAATTACCTAGCATAATGCCTAACACAAATCTGGTGTCCAATAATTGGTCATATCTGTAAACTGATAATAAAGTATATTTATAGCTTAACCTGAATCACAGTAGAATTCAGTCACCCTTTAGATTTCCAACTTCCCAGCTGTTCTTTGCATCATCACCCTATTATTAATTCCTGTGGTTTGAGAACTTAATCTCCCCCGGACCTATTGTTGCAACTGAACCACAGGCCTGGGAGTGGTAGCAGCCTGGGAGGCTTGGCAGAGGGTTGGTGAGAGTAGGAGAAAAGGGTGCTACATCATCCCAAACTCAGACCTTAAACGAAGTCTGTGCAACTCTTTACATGACCAGACTTTCCCAGTTTACCCCAAGAACCCAATAGGCAATTTGCTTTATATTTAAAAATCAGAGCAAATCAGTACAATCGAAGAAGCCATCAGACTAGAGGTGTCTTCACATTTCCACCTTTTCTAGCTCTGAAAGGGGAGTGGTGAATTAACCTAAAGAGAACATTTTAACTCATGACTTNTTTTTTTTGAGATGGAGTCTCACTTTGTCACCAGGCTGGAGTGCAGTGGTGTAATCTCAGCTCACTGCAACCTCCAACTCCCTGGTTCTAGCAATTCTCCTGCCTTAGCCTCCTGAGTAGCTGGGATTACAGGCATGTGTTACCACGCCCAGCTAATTTTTGTATTTTTAGTAGAGATGGGGTTTCACCATGTTGGCCAGGATGGTCTTGATCTTCTGATCTCATGATCCACCTGCCTCTGCTTCCCAACGTGCTGGGATTATAGACATGAGCCACTGCGCCCAGCCATGTTATGTTCTTCTATGAGAGGGGTTGACTCTGAGGTCTTCTTGGTCATGGGAGCAGACACATAAGGACTGTTTGTTTATCTCTAAAATGACTGCCTAAATACTTGGTCATTTTGAATTATAAACAGCATAGTGCATGATCGAGTGCAAGTTCAAAGTGGTATAAACAACTATTAATAGATACATGAGGTTCCTTCCTCAACAGTGGTTTCCAAGAACTGAAGTTTAGAACAAATGACAGATTCATCCTATAGTACAAGGAGGCCTAGCTATCTTTAGAGGATGGCTTGATGCTTTGTTACTCTGCTGGCGGTGGCCATGAATGCAAAATATTCTTTAATAGCACTGGGATAAGCAGGGCTTCCTGGTGCTGCTGAAAAGGTTTGTCTTTCTCTGTTTTCTCTTGCTTACAATCCCACCACCCAGAGAAACCACTGTGTGTGTGTGTGTGTGTGTGTGCGCGCGCGCGTGCGCACGTGTGCGCATGTATGTATGCATGTGTAGAAGTTGTGTATAAATTGGGTCAAGTGAATATTCGGGGGTATGTGGAGGCTTAAGGATATGTATCCTGGGACTGTGTGTGAATGTGCATGTGTGGGTATGGAGTATGTAGGAGTTGTGTTTGGAGGTGAGGATATATGTATGCACTCGACAGTGTGATGGAGGTTGTGTGTGTGTGTGTGTGTGTGTGTGTGTTTGAGATATAATTCACATACCATAAAACTCTCCATTTAAAGTATACAATTCTGTGGTTTTTAGTATAGTCACAGGTTGTGCAACCATCACCACTAATTCCAGAACATTTCCATCACCCTAAAAAGGAGCTCTGTGTTAGCAGTCACTCCTCATTCTTCCCCAGCTCTGTCCCCAGCCCCTGGCAACCACTAATCTACTTTTCATCGCTATGGGTTTGCCTATTTGGACATTCCATATAAATTGCATTAGATATGTGACCTTTCGTGTCTGGCTTCTGTGACTTAGCATGTTTTCAAGATTCATCTGTACTGTGGCATATATTAGTACTATTTTTATGGATGACCCATATTCCTTTGTAAGGCTAGGCTTTGTATTTATCCATTCATCAGTTGATGGACATTTAGGTCGTTTTTGTTTTTAGCTATTATGATAGTGCAGCTGTGAACGTTTTTGTACAAGTTTTTGTGTAAACTTTATGTTTTCAGAGGCAACTGCTTTTAAAGTTTTGGTTATATCTTGAGTATTTTCTTTGTGAATGTATGTATGTTTTTACATACAAACATCTACTTTTGCAAATGTGGGATCATGGTATACACACTATCGTGTAGCATGCTTCCCTCCACTTGGCCATATATCAGGGAAGGTTTGTTTCCAGTTGGTTATGATTTTAGCCCATTCTCCCTGGGTAAAGCATCTTCAATACTCCAGGTCTTCATTCTGCAGGTCCCTATCACTGTTCAGTCCATCGTCATTCAGTCTCTAAATAAAACGCTCACCCGACGGGAAGACACTGATGTGCTGCAGCCGGCTCTCGTCAACGCTGGACACTTTAGCCTTTGCATGAATGTTGTGCTTGAGGTAGGTGCCGAATTTGGCTTTGAGAGCTTGTCTGTGATGGACTCAAGCCTCATGTTCCACTGGGGTAACTGGATGCCCTCCGAGGGTGCTCTGTCCTGGCCTGTGGTGTGGCTTTTCCTGGCTTGGCTGCCTGCCTACCTTTCTGTTGTCTCATCAAAGGATGCCTCTTGTCTCCGCAAATTTAGTAACTTGCAGGAATACATCAAAATGTTGTTGTTGTTGCTGTTTTTGTTTTAACATGTTTCCTCTGCAGAGATAGGCTTATTACATTCTGCTTAGACCAGCTTATATGGAACTTCTGTAATTGGGCAAAGTGCAGCTCAGATGACCCTGTCTGCTAGGGGTGGTGCTGAGGGAACCACTTCTTGTAATCCAACTGGACAGCAGAGCAAAGCTTTAACACATGGAGAAATGGGGAAAGATTTGCTGCCTATGGGGGTTTTATTTGAGTTATTCATATAGCTTCTGAAAGTCATGGAACAGGTATATTTGGAGTATCATTTTGTTTTTAGGTAAAATACAGCCTCACATACACAGATGCAGGTGAAGTCATCAAAGCCGATCTCTCTTTGCTTCTGGGGACAGTTAGCAGTGTAGTGGTTCCACTGCAGCAAAAGTTTGAAATTTATTTTCTTCAGGTAAGGTTGATCAAGCTGGCATAAGTATTTAATTGTCAAGTTAAAAAGAAATAATGACTTCTTAGTGGATAAAAATGAATTTCTGAGTATTACACCCAAGCCTTTGTAGTGCACAGAGGGCGTTGTGTAGCCTGTGGTGTTTGCAGTGAAACCAAGCTTCCTCCTTGTATCTTTTTCCCTTTTGAGAATAGATTCCCTTCCACGTTAGCTTGTTCTTTTACAGTATGATATACTCCTACACCTGGCAGATGTATTTATAGTTCTGAGTAGGGAGGGAGAAATACTTTTATTGGTTGGTAATTACAGATTTTATTATAAAAAAAGCATTTGTCTCCCTGCTATTTCCTTATTGAAATGAGAATTATTTGGAGGCATTTCTGCATTGTCTTTCAGGAAAATACCAAGCCGGTCCCTCTCAGTGGAAACCCTGGTTATGTCGTGGGGCTCCCGTTAGCTGCTGGATTCCAGCCTCATAAGGGATATCCTTTTTGGTTCTGTAGAGGGTGGATTTATTCCTCTCCCCATGTGCGTGGGCTGCACTGCTCTTTCTCGCTGAGGCTCCCCTGGGCTGCTTGTGGGAAGGAGAGAGCAGCCCCGGTGAGCTTCCTGCAGGCGGCTCTGGTGGGTGGCCAGTCTGGCTACACAGCAGGTGGGCTAGGGGGAGGCTGGCAGTTGGGGGTGAGATAGCATGTCCTAGGAAAATGTCAGTGGTGTTTTTTTTTTAAATCTCCTTTTTTTTTTCCAGCCTGCCATTAAGCTACAAAATATGTCAGTGTTTTACAACGAAAATCTTAAGAGAGAAAAGTTGACATTTAAACGTTTTTAATTGCACTCCTAACAGACACTCCTAAACAGACACTCCTAAACAAATTTAGTGATTTTGAAAATTTAGAATTTCGAAGGGCCAGTTTCTGAGAATTTTTCTTCTGAGGATCTACTTATTAAGGAAAATAGAGCTATTTTTTTGCTCACTCCTGGGAAATAGCTGTCAAAATCCCAGAGGCCCAGAAAAAGGGTATTTAGGTCTTCTTCATGTCTCACGTCACACAAATGACACCGTCTTCTTACCTGAGAACCAGGCTGCTCTAGCACTAGGTAATTGTCCCTTAACTGTCTGTGAATGTCTGGAATTATTCAGATCACAAATAGATACAGACAGCTTACTATTCTTCATAGCACAACTGAGCAAGACTGCTTAGCACTGGAGGGGGTCCGGACCCCAGTATTATTTGGTTACACTATGCAATCTGGCTGTAAACTAAGGTAAGAGAGTCGCTTGCTTCTATTTGAACATGTTTGTGTTGATCAGAAAACAAGGCATTCTTACTTTTCCCCATTTTAATCAAATCTCTGCATCAGCTGATGAGCTCATCTGAAAGCTGCACGTGAATTATATCATAATTCATGAATAGTAGCAAAACTATTACAGTCATTTTCATTATCAAATATGGCAAAGCAAAAATTTCAAGGCTTTGTATGTTTCTTTCTTTCTTTTTTTTTTTTTTTTTGAGACAAAGTCTTGCTCTGTTGACCAGGCTGGAGTGCAATGGCACAATTTTGGCTCACTGCAGCCTCCACCTCCCAGGTTCAAGTGATTCTCCTGCCTAGCCTCCTGAGTAGCTGGGACTACAGGTATGTGCCACCATGCCCGGCTAATTTTTGTATTTTTTTAAGTACAGAAGGGTTTCACCAAGTTGGCCAGGCTGGTCTTGAACTGCTGGCCTTAAGTAATCTGCCTGTATCAGCCTCCCAAAGTGCTGGGATTACAGGAGTGAGCCACCATGCCCAGCCTGGACCCCGCATTTTTAATTGTACAAGTAAATGTTTACTTCTATAGTGTCTGAAGCCTTTTTTTTCACTATTCATTTAATTTCTTTAACAAATAAAGAAAATACAAAAATTATTAAAATATTAAAAATAGTATAAAAAGAAGTACAGTAGAATTTATTATTTCTTAATTTGAATCAGTGAAGCCATTTGGTGATGTTGAGTTATGCATTCAAGAACAGTCTGCTTTCAGGAGTTTGAAGATTTTTCAAAGAATTAAAAGTAGAATTACTGTTCAACTCAGCAATCTCATCACTGGGTATATACTCAAAGGAAAATGAATCGATCTACCAAAAAGACACATGCAATTGTATGTTCATCACAGCACTATTCACAATAGCAAAGACATGGGATCAATTTAGGTGTCTATCAATGGTGAATTGGATAAAGAAAATACGGTGCATATACCTCCCGGAATACTATACAGCCATAAAAAAGAACAAAATTATGTCCTTTACAGCAGCATGGATGCAGCTGGAAGCCATTATCCTAAGTGAATTAACACAGAAAATAAAGTACTATATGTTCTCACTTATAAGTGGAAGTTAAACATTGGGTACACACAGACATAAAGACAGAACAATAGACACTGGGGACTTTGAAAAGGAGCAGGAAAGCAGAGAAAGGGGAAAGGGTTGAAAAAGTACCTACTGGGTACTGTGTTCACTATTTGAGTGACGGGTTCAATAGAATCCGAAACCTCATAATCACACAATATATCCACGGAACAAACCTGTACATGTGCCCTCTGAACCTGAAAACAAAGATCAGTTTGCCTTTAAGGGGGTAGGTATTAGTTCACTTTTTCTTCCCACCTACTCAACATTATTTATCAAAGTATTACCTTTAAGAAACAGCTAAAAAAGTAAACTAATCTAAGGATGAGTATGCATCATCTGTATTTTTTGGAAGTGGACACAGAGAGCTCCATGGGGTCCAAAAGGGAGAAAAGCTATTGTACCCACAGAAACATCCTCTTCTTCCCAGACCTAGACCATACACAATCCTATGCACACAATTTTGCCTATTTCCTTTAAAAGATGTAAAATTTCATGATTTTAAACATTTTTATCAAAATTCCAGAGTACCTATTAAAACCTCACAACATTCAGCCTGGGAAAGCTGATTGCCAAAACAAAAGAAAACCAAACCTCAAAACAAAGTACTTAGCTTATTTCCTTATTTTTTCCCCGTCTAGTTTAGAAACTCCATGTGGACAGAAACCAATAACCATTACCTAGTACAGTGCCTGGCACAGGGAGGGTCCTCATAAAATATTAACTAAATGAGTTCATGAATGAATTTAGTTGCTCTAAGAGATACAGATGCAGTGGGAACTCAGAGGAAGAAGCAGTTCATCCTGACTTAGGTTCCAGGGAATCATTTAGTGGTTTTTCCCTAAGAAACCACTCATGCTCCCAGAGGCCCAAAGGCTGCTGTGGCACTGACAACAGGCCAGGGATTCGCAGAAGCAGCAGCGATGTAAAAAGAATCTGAGTAAATAGAGCTGACAGTTACTCAGCGCTGAGCCATCGGCATAGTTCATCTCCTAGATTTCATTATCTACAAATCATGGATGGAGGAACCCGGACTGAAAACAGTTAAGTCCTTTCCTCAAGGGCACATAGCAAGTATGTGCAAGTACATGGCAGAGCTGGGATATAATGCCAGGTTTGACTGACTCCAAATTTATGAAATTCTTCTATATCTGACATTCTTCAGTTACCCGTTCCCTTTTGAACTTTTGATTTTATCTTCAAACTCTTTTAGTGCTTGATTTCACTTAATATTTTTCTTGGTGAAGTCAGTGTTATTTAATTTGGATAGCTAAGTAGTCAAAATATATTCTGTTATTGCCATCAAGAAATGCCTCAGCTCCCTCTTAGGCATTGTGCCATATATTGTTATGTATCACAAGAGTGAAAAACAGAAACAGAAGCAGCAAGCATATGGGTTTTTAATTTTTAAAAAATCCCCAATGAAACAAAAAGTAATTGTAAGGAACTCTTTTTATTGCCACTGTCCCAGTATCTATTCAGTACTATGTAATTAAGACAGTGAGAAAGAATAATTTAATCTTATCTTTCTCATCCCTACAACTAGAATGTGCCCCTATGATTCTTTACATCAAGGATCAAAGAAACATCTCACTTATTAATGGGAAGTGACATATCAAGCCTACTTACTCATTTTATACTCCTCTGTATTAAAATTGTGTGTGTGTGTGTGTGTGTGTGTGTGTGTGTGTGTGTTGGAGATGAGAGTGGACGGTAGGTTGTAGGGGTGTCTTCATCTTCTCAGGCTACTATAACCAAATACTGTAGGTTGGGTGGCTTAAGAAGCAATTTTCTCACAGTTGCGGAGGACTGGAAGTCCAAAATCAAGGTCCCAGCAGATTGAGGTCTTCCTGGGGATTCTCTGATTGGCTTGTAGATGGCTGCTGTCTCTCTGTGCCCTCACATGGCCTTTTCTTTCTGCACAAACCTCCCTGGTCTCTCTTTATTCCTATAAGGGCACCAGTCACATTGGATTAGGGCCCCACGCTTATGACTTCATTTCACCATATCTCCTTAAAGGCCTTCTCTTTAAATACAATCACACTGAGGCTTAGGGCTTCAACATAGAAGTTTTAGAAGGATGCAACTCCATTCACAACAGGAGTGCACTGTGAGAACCTTTGGTATCAATCTTCCTAAGACAGCACCACACATTTTCTAAGAGTTCAACTACAAAGTTTTTGTAACTGGCTTGAATGGAAAATGCTTTATTTCTTTTTCTAAGAGTGTTTTTTAAAGTTATTTTTTATTGTGACAAAATACGTGTAATATAAAATTTGCCATTTTAACCCTTTTTAATCATAAAATTCAGTGGCATTAAGGACATTCACAATCACTACATCTATTCCCAAAATTTTTTAGTTATCTCCAAAGAGAGATTTTTGCCTATTTTAACCAGTAGGCAATATCTCCTCATCCCTACCTTCTCCCCAGGCCTTGGTAATTTCTTATCTACTTCTGTCTCTATGAATTTGCCTATTATAGATATTTAACAGTGTTCTTGGTTCCATGTCTATAGATCAAAGAATGCTTGAGCTTGGAGGGATCCAGTGGCTCAAGTTCCTTTGAGGTACAGCTGAGACCCCTGAGGCTGAGATGGATAAAGTAGTTGCCCAAATTAACACAACTGCTTAATGGTAAACCAGAATCTCAACCTCAAGTTTCCTGCCTCTTCAGGGCTCTTTCCACTAAAATGCTTGAAATCTCTAGAATGACAGTCATAGGATGAGAATCTGAGGCTCACTGTCCAGCACAGTAGCCACTAATCACATGTGGCTATCTAGCGCTTGAAATGTAGCTTGTCTGAATTGAGACACGCACTGAGTGTTAAATACACACCAGAATTCGAAGACTTAGTATGAAAAAAGGAACATAAAATTATTTCAAGAATAATTTTTATGTTGGTTACATTTAAAATGATACTTTGTACACAGTTGGTTAAATAAATTATAACATTGAATTAATCTCACATATTTCTGTGTGTGTGTGTGTGTGTGTGTGTGTGTGTATATGTGTGTGTGTCTCTGGCACAGTTTTGCTCTGTTGTCCAGGCTATTGTCCAGACTGGAGTGCAGTGGCATGATCTCAGTTCACTGCAACTTTCGCCTCCCAGGTTCAAGTGATTTTCGTGCCTCAGCCTCGAGTAGCTGGGATTAGAGGCATGCGCCACTATGCCTGGCTAAGTTTTTTTGTATTTTTGGTAGAGAGGGATTTTCACCATGTTGGCCAGACTGGTCTTGAACTCCTGATCTCAAAGTGATCTGCCTGCCTCGACCTCTCAAAGTGCTGGGATTACAGGCGTAAGCCACCATGCCTGGCCTTCTTTTTATTTTTCTTAAAGTGGTCACTTGAGCATTTAAAGTAAATGTGACTTGCATCATATTTCTATTAAACAACACTGGTCTGAGGATTCATATTAGGGCACCATTTCTCAATTCAATGGTTAGGTCCTCCCAGACTTCCATCCCCAATATATAATCTAAATTCTCTAGAATTATATACTACATAAAAAGGCAGGAATATTCAAAGGTGATCAAACTATCAAAAATGGTTTATCCAATCACATTATTGGTTAAAAATGAAATACCTGGGAAGACCTTAGGTGTTCAGCACACTTCCTCTCAGGGAAACAAATGTTTAACCAACATTAATGTTGTGTTTATATAATAATAGGAAGAAAGCAGAATGAGCTTACATAAGAAAAGTAGGCTCTGTAATGATAGCGAGTAGCCCATGGAACCCTGAGGCAGGGATGCAGCTAGACTCAGAAACAGACAGGAACTAGGCCTGGAGCCCTAGGGAGGCTCAGCGAATCCTTCCTCTCCCCTTCTCCTCTCTGCGGTGCACACTGGCTTGCTTCAGGTCTCAGTTCACATGATGATGATGATAAACAGCAACAGTTATGAAACACATACACACTACATGCCAGGCAAACACTTTGTATGAACTAGCTCATTTAATCCTCATTCAATCTGCATTTAATATATAATTTTTAAAATTTTGCAGATAAGGAAATTGAGATACAGATAGATTTTTAAAAATTAACCCAAGGCCATATAGCTAATAAATGGTAAAGTCAAGGTTTAGAATCAAGTAATTGGGTGCTCAACAATATGCTGTATAGCCTCTTAGTGTGAAGAATGGTTACCACCAAGAATATCCAGATTGCATCTTCTAAAATAACAGTATTTACTTCATAGGGTTGTTGTAAGAATTAAATGAGATGTGGCAAAAATCTTAACAGAGTTCCTGATGTACAGCATGTGCTCTGCAGGTGTCAGATGATAGTGTTACTATTCTTACCATCTGTTCAAGACAGCAGCTAGACTGAGACTAGACTCTTAGTATTGATTTCAAGTTATCCTTGAAGGGATTCAGACTGGCAAAGCACAAGAATCAGACCGAATCCTGAGTCCTTGACCATTTCCAGGACGGAATTATCTCTTGTGGCAGATATAGCTTGATGAGGTTTCACTTTTATGTATTAGGGACAGAGCGGGGACGTGTTGGAAGGCAGGGTATTATCTGAAGCGATATGAACTATAATCTATCAAAGGAATGAATGAACGTTAGCCTGGCAATAAATATCACCATCCCATTTTATTTGCTAAACCACTTTAGCAAGTTAAAATGAGCACTGAAGGCGAACTTACATATTCTGAGTTCTGAAGTGAGGCTTTTCTTTTATGGGCGATATTAATGGGTAGCTTTACAATTATAAATATCAGAAAAACCAAATCTACAGTGGATTAAGTAAAATAGGGTTTATTTTTTCTCACATAACGAGGAGTCTGGAAACAGGGCTGGCATCTCTGAGACTCTCTTAGCCACTTTCTCAAGGTTGCAAGGGAGACAAGTACTGGGAATAACTGTTAGAAGGTCAGCTATGTGGGAAGATAAGTATTTGACTTCAAAAGAAACATAAACAGCACTTAGTGGAAATATGCTGTTTACGGAGCCCTACCTAATCCATTCCTCTAAAAATGTTGCAACATAGATATTAGGAGAATACATCGCCTGGAAAACCACAGATTAAAATAGTATGTACATTCCCTCATAATTTCACCTTATCAATTTCGCCACAGAGGAAGGTGCATCCAGTGTCTCATGCTCGGAAGTCTACTGTGGACTTTATCCTGAGTCAGAACCAGAAGTGAAGGCAGTGGCTAGTTTCTTGAGAAGAAATATCAATCGCATTAAAGCATACATCAGCATGCATTCATATGCCCAGCATATAGTGTTTCCATATTCCTATAATCGAAGCAAAACCAAAGACCATGAGGAACTGGTAAGTGCTACTTAATTATTTTTCTCATTAGCATTTTGGAAATAAAATAATACTTAGTTGAAATCAAAAACCATGGGAAAAATTTTGTCCTCTATAAGGCAAATGATAGATGTTTTAAATCATGGTGTGATTCTGTTGACAGTTGCCCTGGATCAGTGTTCACTAAGGGAATGTAAAAGAATGTGCCTTACTCTAACAACATGCGCTTTATTCCAACAACAGGCTCCCTTAGAAAATGTCAAATTCCTGGAAGGTTAGGAAGGAACTACTGCACTTGACCTGATCTGCATGTGAAGCCATACAAGCAAGGACGAGAGTTATGGAATCAAACAACAGCTTTGTGGTCACTAGCTTCCTACAACAGCCCACCACAGATTAAGTCTCAACACAGCACTCATTGCTTTGGTATTAGCAGCAGGAATTGTTTATGCCCTGACTTCGCTGACCCTCAGGGTTTTGGTCCTATTAAAGTACCTCCAATTTTAGCATTGAGGCAAGAGTCTGTTTTTTGGAACATAATGAACAATACAGGAGGTTCAAAGAGGACTCACATAATCTGCTACTCCCTTAGCACTTTTTAGTCCCAGATACTGTATGTTTGGGTTGATGGCAAAAGATGCAAGGATTCTTGAAGGATTGTAGCTAGGCTTCAACAAATCCTCATCCCAGATGCTCTTCAGATAGTGAAAGTGTTATAGCAACAGCCCCATTCTTGGGCGGGAACTAAATTTTAGGTAGTAGCTGGTTTCTTAGTGACTCTTCTTTGTTTTTCTGGCTCTCTTAACAGAATAAAATATAGTCACATTTCAGGAGCTAGCAATTGCTGATGACAAATATTAAGATTATTTCCATTTGCTGAAAATAGCCCATTTAGAAATAAATATACTTGATACTTGAGCTTTTTTCTTCTGGAGGGAAAACTCTAAAGGAAAGCACCTTTTAAAAATATCTTTAAAGAAATAAAAGGAAATGTATCATGATTTGGGAAGTAGAATTAGTCTAATTATGCTTTTTTTTCATTACTGTCAGCACACATACTTGTTAAAAGCCATTACGTGTAAAATACTTGTCAGTGGATGTCTAAAGAAGCATTAGGTAAAATCCTGCCCTTTAAGAGAATATGTTATGGTTAGGGAGCTCAACCATGAGATTAGATACATTTTAGACAGGCATTGAAAGAGGATTTCTTTAGGCAGACAGGAAAGGGAGGACCTTCTAAGCAAAGAAAATGTTGTTCCCTATAACAGGATGCAAAAGTGGAGAGTGATACCGTCAGAAAGTAGATGAGGTTGGCTTGTGAAGGGGTGTGAATGTCAGATAAATTTGTATTTCATTATGTAGACAATGGGGTTCCATTAAAATTTATTTTTTTGAACAAAGAAATGGCATAAAATAATATCCACTGATAAATCTCTGAGTTTTTCAAGAGGGTCACAGTGTATACCATGATGCTAGTTCCAATTTCCTAAAAGTTCCAGGTAAGTGAGAACTTCAGAACAGATTTTTGTAAGCTAGAACAAAATGAAGTCGAACTAGGGTCTTTGTTAATATCCTGCTCCATACCAGAGTCATAATCTTTTTTGATTTGATGAATTTGTGAAAGTCATTAGACATTTTACACAAAAAGAAAATAGAAATTGTGAAAAGGATAAGAAGTGAATCATGCATACATTAGGTGTATGTATGTGTTTAGAGATGCTGGATTTAAAGTTTGCTGGTAATTTTGTTCAGAAATGGAGTACCTCTAAGCCTTTGAAATGTAGTTATACTTCACTTTCCATAATAAATGAATTCCCAAAAAGGCATGTAACAATTTTTTTCTTCAAATTAAAATTTCAATATATTGGAATAGTTTATGTTTAAAGCCACCCAATTGTGATTGTCACAAAGTGCACATTTTTAAGTTAATTTGTTAATCTTATTAATTTGCCTTTTGGATGAATCTAGATTTTCTACATGTACACTTTGATTCAATTATTGTATGATTGTTTTTTAGAAACTTCTACCTGTCCTGTTTCAAAGCTGCACATTAACTGAAATTCCACGTCTTCTTGCTTCCAGTCTCTAGTAGCCAGTGAAGCAGTTCGTGCCATTGCGAAAATTAGTAAAAATACCATGTATACACATGGCAGTGGCTCAGAAACCTTATGTAAGTATTTCTTCTTATAATCTTAGAGAACTTTGGGCTGTTAAAGAAGTCTCTGTGATCTGCTTTTCTTTGTGAATTTAATTTTTCCAAATTAAATAGAGTCATATATAATACACTTGAACTGTAATAATTAGGAACAGAAAAATAATCGTTATGACAGTGCTGAACAAAGCTATATAAATAAATGAGTTACTGGCCAGGCGCAGTGGCTCATGCCTGCAATCCCAGCACTTTGGGAGGCCGAGGTGGGAGGATCACTTTTAAGGTCAGGAGTTTAAGACCAGCCTGACCAACATGGTGAAACCCCGTCTTTACTAAAAATACAAAATTAGCTGGGCATGGTGGCGCATGCCTGTAATCACAGCTACTCAGGAGACTAAGGCAGAAGAATCATTTCAACCTGGGATGTGCAGGTTGCAGTGAGCCGAGATCATGCCACTGCACTCCAGGCTGGGCAATAAGAGCAAAACTCCATCTCAAAAAAATAAATAAATAAAAATAAAATAAATGAGTTACTAAAAAGAAGCCAAAATGCTATCTAATACATTATATTTATCACAATAGAGTAGGAATTACAGAATTGGAATCATAGTAATGAGTGAAGCAGAAAAGTTCATAAAACTTTTGTATGATTCCCAGGGCTACCACGGAGGGTTACAGGTTGTATACTACACTAATCTAGGGCATCCCATTTGCATCAAGCGTTTTTTAGTGTTAGCCTGTCCCCAAGACTATAGCTCATAACACATTACAGTTGATTGTCTTTAATATATTATTACACAGACAAGAGCTTGTGACAAACTCTTAACAAAAAGTTTTGATTAATTTTTGCTGAAAGATATTTACTAATGAACTCCTATCTACACACAGTGAGAGGGCAGGCTGATTTTGCCCTTTTGAAGTTTGAAGGAAGATGGGAAAAAAGGAGCAGAAAATAAACCTGTAACCAGGCATCAGAAAACTACAGCTTGAAGGCCAAATCCAGGTTTTTCCATTTTTTTTAAATGGAAAAATCAAAAAGAGGCCAAGTGCGATGGCTCACCCCTGTAATACCGGCACTTTGGGAGGCCAAAGCAGGAGGATCACTTGAGGTCAGGAGTTCGAGACCAGCCTGGCCAACATGGTGAAACCCTGTCTATACTAAAAATACAAAAATTAGCTGGGCATGGTGGGGCGCCTGTAATGCCAGCCACTCGGGCAGCTGACACATAAGAATCACTTGAACTCGGGGGGCAGAGGTAGCAGTGAGCTCAGATTGCACCACTGCACTCCAGCCTGGGTGACAGAGGGAGACTCCATCTCAAAAAAGGTCAAAACTGTATTTATAATGAACACTAAAATATGTATACATTTTAGTTAACATGCATTAAACTGTAACAAGTCTTCTGGTAATTAGAGCTTTCATGTGATGCTCCCCAAACTGTATTAGATAGATGCTAAAATTATAAATTAAAATTTCGGGCCAGATTTTGCCATATCCTGGACTCAATTTAGCACTCAAAAAAAAAAAAAAAAAAGAATGTAGAATGTTAGATTCTTCAATTAATGGAGTTGGAAAACCTAACAAGTTACCTAGAAAAAAATTAATTGAATTATTAACATGTCTTTCACCAAAGTAAATTCCAGGTAGAACATATATTTTCATACGAAAACTCTGCATAAATGAAGTTGAAAGCTCAGTAAGGAGAAAAAAATTCTTTATGAAAGAAGAAAAAAGGGGTCTACATGCCAAACAGAGATAATAACATTAATGTTGTTTTTATAAGCAATTGATAAAATGAACCAAGTAGAACAATGAGGAAGGACAACTAATAGGAAATATAAAGATGGTCAATAAATATGCCAAACAAAATGGCAACTCACTGATAAAAAAAAAAAGTCAAGACAGTTGGATATTCGTTTTCAACCGTAAAATTATCAGAATTCATAATTCCTATTGATGGGATGGGATGGGGAAGTGGGCAAATTCACATCCTGCTTATGGAGGTATAAATTAATTCAGTTCTTTTGAAGTCCATTTGGGAACTTGTTGTAATTGCAAAAAGTGCAAAGCCTTACACTAGCAAATCTATTCTAGGAAAGAATATTCTAAAGAGACAAAGAAGCAATTATATATAAACAAGGGTACTCACTGTAAAGTTGTTTATATTAGCTGAAAACTGAAAAAAATGTAAAGGTATCTAAACAAATAAACATTTAAGTCAAACAATTCCCAGTTTATTAATTAATTTGAAACACCTATATTTCAAAAAGTAACTTCTATCTTCTTTCAGACCTAGCTCCTGGAGGTGCGGATGATTGGCTCTATGATTTGGGCATCAAATACTCGTTTACAATTGAACTTCGAGATAAGGGCAGATACGGATTCTTGCTACCAGAGCGTTACATCAAACCCACTTGTAGAGAAGCTTTTGCCGCAGTCACTAAAATAGCTTGGCATGTCATTAGGAATGTTTAATGCTCTTGATTTTGTCATTCTGCATTTGTATTTTAATTTACTGATTCCAGCAAGACCAAATCATTGTACCAGATTATTTTTAAGTTTTATCCGTTGTTTTGATAAAAGATTTTCGTATTCCTTGGTTTTGTCAGAGAACATAATAAGTGCTACCTTGACATTAAGGCAGACAAGGGTTCACGTCTTTTACCTTTTAAAAAAAATTGTAAAAGTCTAGCTACTGACATTTTCTTTTATTTCCGACGTTTGACTAGCCATCTCAAGCAAGTTTAATAACTAGTTTCATGCCAATCATTGGATCCTACTCAACAAAAGGAAGAGTGGTCAGAAGTACATTAAAGATTTCTGCTCCAAGTTTTCAATAAATTTTCTGCTTGCGCCTTTAGAAATACAACCACGCATTCCGTTTGTTCCACAGTATTTAGGCGATGGATGGTCCAGAAAGAAGGGGGAGTGTCAAAAACGACAAACATCGCCTCTCATTCCAGCTGTGCTGCTCAATAAACACTGTTGAACGAATGAATGAATGGCTCTAGTTACTTTCAACAACAAATGCGGCATTTTGCGCTTTTACAACAGCTGTTGATAGTAACGAATTATGTAATAAAAAGAGAAAGCTCTCTTACATTTACTTTGAAAAGGGAATTTTAGTTCTCCCTGGCTCCCAGTTTCCTCTCGCAGGATCTCTCACAGAGTACAGACTTGCTGATTTCCAGGGCCGGCCGCACTCTCACTCCTTGCAGGGGACTTTACGCCCAGAGGGCGTGTCCACGGAGGACGGTGTCTGCGCACTGACGACTAATTTTACGGCCGGAAGCTGCCGGGGTCTATAGAGGAACAGGGCAAACCTCTAACTTCCGGCGGCGTTTTGAGGCGGTCCTTCTAGCGGCCTCATAGTGTTTTTGTTGCCTTTTCTTACTCTACAATAGCTTCGTTATCTTTCTTCCTACGACCCAGTTTCGCTTTACCCTGGCGAGGCGGCGGACGGGTTCTGCTTCTCAGCCGTCCCGGGGGCCCCTCGCTAGCCGAGGGCCGGTTCCCGGGAACCGCACGCGCACCGCTTTCTCCTCGTCGTCGTCCTCCCGGTTCCAGGCGCGGGGACAGAGAGTCGCCTCCCCCGCTCCTCGGAGCGGCGGCGGCGGTGGTGCCTCCGGACTGCACTTGCGAAGAGAGCTTGGGGAGGAGGTAAGTGTTCAGCGAATTGGCGTGGGTATCTGGAGAAAGGCGTTGGGCGGACCCGGAAAGTGGAGGCCCGGGTTACCCCCCATCTTCGCTTGAGTCGCTGAGATTTTTAGCTTTCATTGAGCATCCCACCCTTAACTCTGCAGTACCTTCCTGTGCTCAGACATAATTTCTCGCTGTGGTTATGATTCTGGCATTTGTCTAAGGAAGATAGGCAGACTCAGACGATAGGCTGTGCCCCTCATTACCGTTTGATGTAAGCACGGGAACCCTTGTATGGTATTCGTATTTGTATGCGATAGAAGGGTGCAGCAATTTGGGCTTAGATTTAGAATCTCCCTCTATACGCGTCCCAGACCTGTTAGAGAAAAACATCTTATGATTGGTCTTGTTTTTTTCTCAGCAGTGATAACGATTTAGGTCCTGGGAATTGAGTGGTACTTTATCTTCACATGCTGTAGGTAGTTGGTTTTGGCAACTGTCAAAAACGGGGGAAAGTGGAATGAAAGGAGAGAGTCTATTTGCCAATCTCTGTATGATAGGTTAATGCAACTTACGTGGTTTGAAAATTATTCAGAGTTGATAGTACTTGAATGATAATTGGTAAAATCTTGTTTGTGGAGGGTAGAGTCTTAAGGTACTTGGTTGTACTCTGGGGCTTTCAGGTAATTCGAACTACTTTGAAAGTTATGGGAGTATGAAGTCTTAAGGTTTTTGGATTTTTAAAGAATTAGTTTAAGAAGTTTGGAAAATATCTTTACACCTCTAGTTTTCAAAGTCCGTGGTACTGTTAGAGAATAAATTCTTTATGCACTTCAGTTTATGAGTATGTGGTGCCAGTTAGCGGGGTCTAGTTCTGTAACATTTGAAATTATTGGCTTTAGTACCTAAGCAACAATATGTTGGAGTGTATCGTGAATACAATCTATAGATTTTCAAATTATTTCTAATTTTTAATGAACTATTTAGATTATAACATGACAGTTTCAACTAGAGACTGACAAAGCTGATGCAAGTTTGTAACAATTTGTGACTTTAAAAATACTGCGCTGTGAAACTAAGGCTTTCACTGTGTGCATCTAGTAGGATTCAGTTTTATCAAATTGTATGTCTCTTACTGGCTCCCTGATTACTTGTCATTCGAAATGGACATTGCGTATTTTGAGATTTGCAAGCTTATATGATTTTCATATTTGTAATATGAATTAACATACTAAAATCCAGCAAGTGGATGGTATCATAACATCTATACAAATTAATAAAATTGTAATGTCATCAGTGTTTATTTTTAATATGCATTGGCATTTGCATAGAAGAAAAACATTGTTTGACTTACATTTACTTAGTGAATTAGTTTTCAGTGGATGTTCGTCTTCCTCACCTCCTCATCTCTCCCAACTCCATCTTGCATCTCCTATAGACGTGGAGCTATAGTAGTAGTTGAAACATTAACTGCCGTTGATATAGAAAGAGTCTTTTATTCTTTTGTGTGTGTGTGCATTTTTGTATGTTGCAGTCCTTTTTACTTCACTTGAGAGTAGCTACCAGCATGGGATGTTCTCTGTGCAGTCTTTTTAACAAATTATTTTTTCTGCACAGTACTGCAGTGTTGCTTCACTAATTCCTATGTAGTCAGCTTAATTCTGTCAACTGTGTTTGGAATTTAGTGTGGAATTGTTTTAGTATTAATTTATGGAAGCAATCTGAAAGTTTGTTGTAGAAAGTTCTTTTTAAAATGTTTTCTCAAACTATGCATCAGATAAACTTAACTTTTTTCTTTCTAAAATTATGAAGTATAAATGTGAAGATACCTTATTTTTAGTATCACCTTTTTAATCTTAGAAATTCAGAGTATAGGGATTTATCCTACCAGTTAGTACATTAATGTAGTTTTAATTGCCTAATTATTTGAAAATTTTCTAATATTATGTCACTACTCATCCAGATTAAAGTGTTATGTTTTCACTTAGGCTTCCAGAAGATGAGACCTGAAAAAGATAGTTATGGATTGAAGTGAAGATAGTAGAAGGGATATGTGTTTACTGACAAGATTTTCATAATTGAGCTTCTGGAATCATTATTCAAAAAGAGTCTGTCTTGTATGCTTCTCCTTTCTCAGCCATAGTCATAACGTGAACCTCTGAGTACAGTGTAATATTGTAGGTTTCCTGGGGCAAGGAAGCAGTTCCCATTTAAGACCCTCCTTTGTTGTGTCTTTATTAATAGACTCAAACTTTGTGTCCTGGATTTTCCTTTTCTTTTTCCATTTTCTTTTTTAATAAAAAGAGATGATAGAAGACTTCAGATATTCATTTACTCTGCAAATGGAGAGGAGAAATAGGAAAATAAAGGAATAGATTTTCATTAGTGCCGCTCTATCTTTGATAATTCTCCTGTTTGGGAAAGACTTCATGATATGGGTTGAAGTGTGACGGCAACTTAAACCAAAAACAAAAATGGAGGAAAACCTTCATAGAAGAGTAAATTAGTAAGTTGTTGGTATGACCTAGATTTATATTCTCTATAATAGGACTTTAGTGTTTACATTTTTATCTTATTGTTTCTAATTTTTCTCATATACTTTGAAGCATTTACTTCTCATTGAAGCCTGTTCAGATATAATTTGAAAAAGCTTTCCCCCTCCTTAAATTCTACATTTTAACTGTTGTGGTGTTCATTTTTCTATATGGGCCCAAAGTTTTAAATAGGATTGAAAATTCTAATTGTCACCCTAGTTGGTAACGTGTAGTTTTAATATATGAAAAAGGTTATGTTTTTCTGTTGTATTGTAGATATTGTGTATATTTTTAGACAAATGGGATTTTTAAAGTTATAAATTGTGTTCTTTGCAAGTATAAAGCATTTTGTTTATCCAAACTCTTGAATGTCATTAGTAATACTTAAGTAACATTTTATTCTTGACTACAGATGGAAGTTTTTACATGGATGATCAGAAGAATTCTTTCAGCTAGAAATCTTCAGTTCCTACTTTTTTCCTTTTTGCACCAGATGTTTTACACACATACGTATATACCACATTAATGAACATTTTAAAGAATATATGTGTGTGTGTATTATTGTTATTGTCTTTTTT